CTACAGAAGAGAAGGCCAGGTGCTCCAAGCTTTATGGATTGTGAGCTTCATTGGTGAGGGGAGGAGCACTGCTATTGGTTACAGCTGTGGAGGACTCTACTGGGTTTGACGCCTGGAGGAGTTGGAATAAAGATTGGAAACCTGCTTCAAAGGCTAGAGGGTTAGCGCTCTTGGAAGCAGCTACTACATGGCCAGCATTTTCAATGAACACTGCGCTACAACCTCTACTTCTGAAGCTTGAAGAAGTTTTTGGTGAGACGGTCAAGGCAGGGACTACAAGATGAGTTGAAATCTGCTATTCTTTGAGATGTGCAGGTGGGCAACTCAAATCGTACTCGAATTTGACCATTGGCGACAATGTTCAATACTCAACTTTGAGGGAGCAAGTGTTGCAGTGGGATCGTTCTCAGCAGAAGTGGACTACTTCAATGGTGACAAGTAGCAGTACAACCAAGGACCCATGCCAATGGACATTGGTCGAGCCCAAGATGCCAAACGAAAAGGCAAGAACGACCATCAGAAGGGTACAGGTAAGGATGCCAAGGGCAAAGAAAAGGAAGGAAAAGGAGATCAGAAAGGAAATGAAGGTGATCGGAAGGGCAAACGGAAAGGTATAAGAAAAGATGAAAAAGGCAAAGGTGTGGCAACATGTTACACTTGTGGAAAGCAAGGACATCTTGTTCAAGATTGTTGGAGGAACCATGTTCGCCAGGTTGCAAGTGATCCAGCCCATTCATTCATCTTCAGGAGGAGCATCAGTGACTACTCATACACTTGGTCAACAAGCCAATGTGAGCCAGCAGAGTAGTTCACCAGAGACCAAACCAGTGGTCAGGAGCATTAAGAAGAGTGAGCCAATTATCTTTGACTTGCGAGAAAGGGATGATGAGGTAGAAGCTCATATTGGAGATGATGATGATAGCCAGAGATGGAAGATTGCAGGGTGATCGACGTCTCAGATGATGAACCCATGGTGAGGAGACTTGGGGAAGAGCATGAGGATGTAGCCATCATTATTGACAGTGGAGCTGATGTAGCGTTATTCTCTTTGAGTATGGCAGGCCATGGAGAAGGTGAGTTCGAGTTCAGCACAAAGACCAAGCTACAAGATGTGCGGGGGAACCATATCCCACAGGGGGTGCGAAAAGTGTAGAAATCTCCTTGCATTAGATGGACGCGAAGTTCTTCTCAAAGAGAATGCGGTCTTCAGTTCAAAAGTGAATCAGCCCATACTTTGTTATGGAAAGCTGATGGAACATGTTTGGGGAATCACTGGTCGAGAGCAGACATTGGAGATGGTGACTTGAAGGTACCACTCAACTGGCAAAATCGCCCGTTTGACAGTGCAAGTTCGAGATGAGGATGAAAGCTGCTTGGAAGTGCAAGTACCTGAAGCTTTGGAAAAGGCAGCAGGTTGAAGATTCAACGAGCACGGACTGCTAGTTGGAAGCTTATTGACCGCACCATCTGTTGATCTCACATTCATTCTAGAAGTGGAAGATTCACCAGAGTCACCAGAGTTGATGAGAACCACCTCGATGAAAAGAGGAGGTCGATGGCTAATGCATGCATATTGGGAAAGCATGGTTGGAAAGGAGGAACTTGATGAGCAATTCTTTGATGATGACGCAGTCATGCCTTCAATCACAATCTTCAGCTATGAGCCAGCGCCGCCAGAAGATTTGGGATTCTTTGCGCCTGGATACACGAAGCTTGAGAACAGAGAAGGGAAAAAGAAAGAAGTGGAGAAGGATTTAGACAAAGTCTTGGTGAATGGAGTGCCTAGCAGAGTGTGGTGAACCTGCTCATGGTTACATCAGAAGTCTCAACACAGGAGAAGCCAGATGGCATCCATGCTGGTTCTTGGGAGAAGTGGAAAAACAAGACGCCTATGGGCTGACAGATGGTGTGCATCAAGCAAGAGGTGGAAGAGAAGATCAAGACCAGTTGCAAGAGATTTTTTGCTTTCGCTGAAGAGAGAGGGACAATTTCCCACCAGCAACTTCAGGACATGTGCTGAAGCTTCTACCCACAATATTCTTGCAGAGGAGCATTTTCTCAGATGCTAGGATGCCTTGATGTGAAAGATGCATTCTTGCAGGTTCCAGAGGAGAAGCCGTTGAAAGTGAACTTGAGAGGAGAAGAATTCTTTGCGAAAAGGAACTTGCCTGGACAGGGAGTTGGAGAGCAGCAGCATGGTTTGGCTTTTTCAGAGTACCTCACCGAGGAACCCACTTACAAGTTCAGTGCGGAGTGTCCATGCCTAGGAAGAAATGAGAAGAGTATCATTTTGACCCATGTGCATGACTTGATTTTCACAGGTTGTTCAATATACAGCAGCAATGAAATCTTTCTTCCAAAGATAAAAGACAGGTTTGACGCCAGTGTGAGCAAAATTGAGAAGATGGTGACGAGTTCAACTTCCTGAGGAGAAAGTACAAACTAAACTAGAGAAAGGCGGATTTTGTATCCAGCCAAGTAACTGTATCCAGCAGATGCTGAAAGCCTATGAGGGGCAGTTTGGAAAGATCAAACTTCAACAGCTACCATCAGACAACTCCCTTCAAATTGAAGACAAGTCAGAAGTGCTGGATGACCAAGAAAGGATCAGCCTATTCAGAAGCAATGTTGGTTCAGGTATCTATCTATGCCAAGAGAGGTATGATGTAGCATTTATAGAATTTATAGTGAAAGAATTAGCTTCAAGAACTGCAAATCCAACAGCTATGTCATTTCATCACTTGAAGAAATTCTTGGGATACTTGAAGAAGACTTTGGGCTATTGTCTAGTATTCCACAAGCAGGAGAAGGCTATGTGAAGAAAGGAGAAAGCTATTATTGGTGCTTGGAAACATTCTCAGATTCAGGCTGGAGTGGAAACAATAACCACAGAAAGTCAACATGAGGAGGATTCCATGCGTTGAACAGTTGTCCATTGCTCAATAGCAGCAGGGCACAGAAGATCATTGGCCTATCTTCATGTGAGGCAGAGTTACACGCACTAGTTCCCTCAGCACCAGATGGTATTTGTTTACATTCGCTCATCTATTCGCTCAGTCCAGACAAAGATGGACCATTACATCTTTACAGATTCATTAAGTGCGCGCCGAGCAAACAAGAGTATTAGACTTTCAGAACTTGGCAGGAAAGGTCAGCAAACTTGCCAAGATGATTGTCAGAACGGTAGCAATTGAGGGCTTGCAGCCAATGGTTACAGAGGGGTCGATGAGAGACAATGAGATCAACAAATGCCTACTGGAAGTGGAAGACTCCAATAGACATTGGAAGATTACAATCATCATGATCATTGCCATGGGTTTTGCAGCAATGACCTTTGCAATGTGGAGACTTTACAAGCATCTCGAAGAACACTATTCATGGTTGATGGAAGCTCTTAGACAGAGTGGACAAAGCAGAACTCAGAATGGTGGAGCTTGAGGATATGACCAGAGAGAATGAAGAAAATGGACACAGGGTAGACAACCTGGGGAACTATGCCAGGAGAATTCATAGTGGATTGATTCTCAATGGCGGCCTTGTAGAACAAGATGAACCAGACTTTCTCCAAACAATCAGCTATGACATGCTGGGAGAGCTAAATGAAGCAAATCTTCTCAGCCAGAAGGAACTTGGAAGATATGAGATCAACAGAAGGGCAATATCATGGTCACCGTGTGATGCTACAAGCAGCCACTCAAGGAGCAACCCCTACAGAAGGACCAATGTCAAGAAGGTTCACACTAAGAATATTCTCCTAGGAAGAGGAGAAGGTGCTAGAGCAAACGCAATGGCATATGAGAGAGATCGGTATGAAATGGTATGAACCATTGCTAGGATTCCTGGAGCAGAAAAGAGCCCACTCGGAAAGGATACCGTCAGACACCTCCACCAACCCCGTTCTTGAGAGGATGCAATGGCCAACAGAAGAAACATTTGAGTAGGACAATTTATGGTGGCAGGGTGAGCTAGAATAGCCATTCGCACGCTCACACTACCAAGAAGGAATGTGAACAAGTTCAATGCAGACCATGGCCAGTGTATGTAGCACAGCTTGTATAGATAACCACTGCGCAGCCCTTTTTGTGTGAAGGAAAAACTTCTTAGTTCTTCATATGTTGCCCATATTCTTCAGGAACAAAAGGTTTGCTCCGCATGCTGGCATGCAAAGAGCATCCAGAAAACAACAAAGCTTGAGGTTTTCAAATGTCCCAACTCCAAGGCGCAGTCATCCAGAGAGATCATTGCAGGCTTTGAAAGCGGTGCAGCATCTCGGCACTAGAGCTGGCACGTTCAGGGTTGATGCTGAGAGTAGTGGCTGTGAGTGTTACTTGACGGCCTTGCCTCCTTCCCTTGTAAAACATTTTTGTTGGAACCAGCCAGCCTTTGCCAAATGCTTTTCACGATAAGCGATAGAAGATGAGGCAATGCGTGACAGGGCTTGTAACTGTAGCCATTTCAGCTCACAGATCGCGGCCATGGAACCTGGCCAACCATCCAGAAGGAAAAGGAGGGCTCCGAGTCACCGAGGCCTCGCTCCAAAGATGCGTTGTCCGGTGAAGGGCATCGTTCACTTGGACTTGAAGGAAACGAAGGGAGAGAGGGATGGCTGCCTGTTGGGCCTGTGTGGCCGCAGCGAGCTGTGAGAGATTCCTGCAACGAAGTCGCATGGTTCTGACGTCACTCGTGGATGTACGGCCAGACCTACCCGCCATGAGAACCATAGAGGAATCCTTGCGCTTGAGGCTGAGGTGTTTTGATCAGAAGCTGGGTGGTGGAATGCTCAAGGCATGTGTCGGGCGCAATGATGTGTCACAACACATCCTATCCTTTTTGGATGTTGATCAACCTTTGGTCGATACAAATGTGGGTGGCAAGATGTTCTCCGACAGTGGGTCAGCCAACGTCGACTTGTTCTTCCATTCTATGTCGCAGGGCAAACCAGACAAAAATGGAAAGCTTGGGAAAATGCTCGAAGAGGCATGGAGTGAGAACCCTGAAATATGTTTGAAGCAAAATCTTCCTGCTTGGAGCCAGCACGGAAGGGAAGCAGGACAGGTATTCCTTCTAATCCGGCAACTGTGCTGGCCAACTTGCACCACATTCCTGAGTGCAACTATTGGAAGGCCATGCTGGAACTTTTGGCCCGTTTTTGCGAAGGTCCAAGCAGGAGCCTGGAGCGTGACCTGGCGCTCTACAATCGCTACATGCGCCGGCGCTCCCTCTGCGAAGGGGAGAAGAAAATCACCATGCGAGATGCTGAGGCCCGTGTTGTGTTTGCCATTGTCTACCTAGCTTGTTAGCAGTAGATAGGGGTCCTTTACGGCAGCCTATCAGGGTCGGAGGAGAAGTCTTGAGTGACACTGATGTTTTTAAGCATTTGATTGAATACAACCCACATGGCCACATTTGCCTTCTTGAGCCTGCTCAGGTGGATCGAGTTTGTCCCACATACGTCTCCTGGTGCCCCGGATCTCGTCTTGAGCTTGTCGAGGAGGCGCTCAAGAGAGATATGACCATGACCCGCTCTATCGAACTCTCTTTGAGCGTGTTGGGCAGCTTTTTGCCGAGCAATTGAGGGAAGACATCGGTGCCTTCAGCTTGTCGAAGGCATTCTGTTTCTTGCCCCGGTGGTCAAGAGGCTTATATGTGTCCTTTCATGTTCAGTACCGGGCCAGATAACTATAGATAACTCTACATGATTGTGTTGGCACCTGTAAGTTTAGTGACTTTAGTGGGAACTGAGGGAACCTCCAAGACTAGCACAATCTATTGGACAAAAGGCATTTTGTTCTGACGATGTCATGCTTGGTCCGATTCGGAGAAACTCAAGCTGCAAAGGCAGGTGTCGGGCAAGCTTCAAAAACATACGATTTGACTTTCTGTGCCGGCACGGCTGTCCCATTCAGACTTAGTGACTTATATATACTTATATAGTTCTTGATCTTTATTTTTGTCGGACAACCCTAAATACTAAAGTCAAGAGAGATCACAAGCGTTTGATAGAATGCCCTGCCATGCCATTCACAAATGAAAAGTCCTTGAAACTGTTTTGAATTAGCCAGCACTTGGCAACGTGCAGCACTGGCCAAGGTTAGACGCAGAGAGGCGAACGGATAAGCCTGTGTGCAAAGTGGTGTCCCTTGTTGCAACACTCCTTTGATCGCAGAACTCTGATTTGCGAGTCCATTGCCCGATGGCTTTTTCCATCTTTTTCCACCCAGTGAGTTTCCCAAACTCACCGAGAGACAGTATGCCTTCCGCGCTCGTGACTGCCTGCGAAAAGTCCTGGCCAAGCTGAAAGAACATATGAAGTGCACAGAACGCCTCATGTGCCACCATAGAGGGGCAGAGATTCAGTATCGGAAAGTGCACGCCTGTTGCCTCAACATCAATGCCAAAGTCTTTGAGAAGCACGACCCGGTTCGCTTTGTGGAAAAACTGGCTAAGCGGAAGGGCAAGGTGAACACGGGAGCCTTGCAGCCTCACCAAGTGCTGATGCAAGTACTGGACACCTCTAGCTCCTTCCATCAGGCGATTGCCCAGGCTCAGTGGCCAGCACTCCTTGCACACGTGCGCTTGGCTGGCTTTTGGTCGAATTGCATCGCAGTCTGTGATGTCTCCGGCTCGATGAGTGCTCCTGCGGCTCCAAACGCTTCCCTGATGGACATTGCGATTGCCATGTCCCTGCTTTTAGCTCAAGTTGCGGATGGCCCATTGGCCCGCCACGTCATCACATTCCATAGAACACCACAGCTGGTGAAGCTACCAGAGACGGACGACCTAGTATTGCTGTACCAGTTCTTCAAGAAGATGGAATGGGGAAGTTCCACCAACTTCCACAAGGTCTTTGATCTTTCGAAGTCGGCGAGCCCACCTCCAAGGCAGGTCTTCGTCTTCTCTGACATGTACTTTGCTAGCGCCGGTGGGAATGAGACTGTGCTGCGAAAGGTGCAGAAGGAGTACAACAAATTGGGTTTGGAATTGCCTGAGCTGGTCTTTTGGAACCTTGCAAGTTCCATTGGGCACCTGCACTGGCCAACGATTTTGGGATCGTGTTGATGTCTGGCTTTTCGGCACGAATGCTACGGACTCTCATGGATCCTGAGGCACATGAATCGCAGGACAATCAAGGCATCAAGAAGGGAAAGAAAAAGCATGAGAAACGAGATCCGGTGACTACTCTATGCGCTGCACTTCAAAAGCCTATTTTTCAGAAGCTCCGAGTGGTCTATGAACAGGGCGAGGTCGCCGACTTATTCGTACAGCCAAAGGAGAAGGTTCGGCACCTCTTCAAGCCAGAACTCCTGCCTCCTGGGGACCCATTTCAAGTTCTCCAGAGGCTTCCAAACATGTCCACTGTGGTCGCCAAGCTTGGAGTTCTGCGCTGTAAAGAAGCCGTGAAAGCCTTCCGCGGCCCCCACGGTGCAAATGTGGATGTGTTGAGAACCAACCTTCGCCAAGAGCTGTCAGTCTTGCTCAAAGGGAGAGGAAAACTTAAGTTCAGGTTCTGGCTTGATGTGAAGACACACGAATCCGTGATATCTTGCTGGGGGCAAGCTGGCAGTGTTGAGGGCACGTTGCGAGCACGACTGCCAGAAAACGATCTTCGCAAGGTCTTGCAGATCATCAAAAAGACGGTGAAGTTTGAAATTGGACAGGTGTTGAACAAAGAGAATGGGAGTATCCCGAAGAAATGCAAGAAAAGGCCATGGCAAGTGACATCCACACCGAAGAAGAAGCGATGCCTATCGCAAAAGCTTAAGGCCCGAGGCGGCGTGAAGCGACGCGGTTAGTGGGCATAATTGGCAAACTGAGGGCTCATGAGGGTTGCAAGGCAACTGAGGGCTCATGCAGGGGCCCAAGTGTTGCCATGCCAACCCTTCAAGCCGCTCCAGGTATTTGTGTGATTTTGTGTGTACAGCATTTCGCAGATGACTGCAGAGTTGGGAGCATCGTGGAGTGGCAAAGAATATGTTCTTTGGGTCATGTCCTTCGTGTTTTGACATGGCACCCTAAAGGTCTGTCCATCCAGATTCTTGGGTCAAGATTTGTTCTTCAACGATGGATGTTGATTCAAGCGTGGAAACGACCAGTAATTCTGGAAGGCCTGCGATGTCACCCAGTTGCAATGCATCGCAGTGTGAGGTAGTGATATTCGATATGGATCGAGATCAAGGGGAACCCAGTTACGCCATCCAGGAGTGGCGGGGGCAGTTTGCATGTTTCGGCCATTAGTTACGCGATAATGATTTGGCTTATTTATTCGAGCTGGGCTGATTGTATGGAGGGAGTTCAGAAGAGTATATTATTAGAGTAGAGAGGGAAAGGGAACTCTGTTTTGCCGGCTGCGAGATTCTGCAGTGCATGCGGGAAGTACTGTAGCTCCCGATCCATTTTGAAGCCGATGGTCAGAGGGACCAGATGGGGTGGTGACCAAGTGTAGCCTTCGGGTCGACCGAATTGTAGGCGCACGCTGATGGTGTCACCGCGGTCCTGCCCTCAGACAAATGTCTGGATTAAGGCTCCGGCAACACTTATATAATCTTATAGAACAATTGAGGCTGCAGAGCACAGCCTGGCCCTAGCCATAGCACAACCTAGTTCCAGAATGAGCATAAAAGCCATTAGAAGCCTGTAGCGGCACTGTAGCTTGCTACTTGCCATGGTTTGTGATGAAACATGTGTTGAATTGATGACGTGCAGATTCTTGGCGATTTGAGAGATGATGGACAGGGTCCAGGTTAACTGTGAACAGCATTCAAAGCCACCTAAAGAACGCTTGTGTCAAGCTCCCAACCTTAGTTGCAGTTGGCGAGGTCGGCTGAAACAACTCCCAATGCCAAACAAACCCAATACCGCACATTGTTCTAAGACATTATTATGCCAGGCAAGCAGTTGTTCGAAACTTGTCCTATGCCGAAGAGTCTCATGAAAACTAACAAATTGATACAAGTTGCCTGGAACATAATTTTACATTGTCTTGAAAACAGCTTCCGGACAGGATGCATTTTCCAGCCTTGAGGTGAAGTGGCTTGACGCGCCGCGGAGGTTGCTCACGGGCTCAAAGGACTGTGCCGCTTTGAAGCGTAGGTCGCGTGGTGCAGGAAACAGGACACGACGGAAGCGATTGCACCGTTTGTTGGTATTATATATTTTATTACTAATATATATATATATTGTTTTTAAATCTATAATCTATACGCATACGTTTGACGGTGTTTCATCATTCCACACGTGTTGCAAGCTTCCACAACTGGATGCTGGCCCCTTGCTGAATAGATAAGGGCCACTGGACAACACAATCCCCTCGAAACCGTTTCGATGGCACCAGGAGTGTCAGGAAAGGGAATTAGCAAGGTGGCTCATGTTGGCAATGATTCATTGTTGAAGCAAAGCCAAGCCAAGGAGATTTCTAGGATTTGAGACCGTAATCCTGCGTATTGGTCCTGCTGTGTCATGAAGGGTGTGCTGCTGTCCTGCTACTTGTGCTATTTTGGTATTTTGTTCCTGAGCCACTGAATCCTTGCCACCAAGCAGAGCATGTCCATTGTTGGCCACATTATGCCATGCATCATCATGCATCCAAAAAGCACCTGAGTAGGAAGTCCTTGGCGAACCCGCAATATGAGAAAAGTATATAATATATGTATTCACGGCCCCGTGTGTTAAGATGTCGTTGCACCTTTTCCTTGGATCCGCAGTGTTTCCAGCTCATTCCATGCTTTGCCGCCTGTGTCAGATCTTTGACGGAGACGATCAAGGACTGTGTGCAGGCTGCCGTGCACTCCGACGGATTCGGGAGGTCCAGTGTGGTGGTGGGCTCCTGTTGCATAGCCAGCAGGCTAGGGCTGTCTCGGCCCTTCGGGATTGCGCAGGCGCGCTCCTGGATCTGGCCGAAGAGGCGATCCGCATCCGCAAGAAGGAGAAAGAGGAGGCGGCAGCTGAAGGAGAGCGAGAGGCAGAACAGGCGGCAGGTGGCAGCGGGAGTGGGAGTACTCCTGTTAC